GTGGGAGCTATGCAGTCTGCTAGTCAATCACCTGGAGCTCAGCTTGCGCAGCACCAGCTTGCTTATCAGCATATCCACCAGCAGCAGCAGCAACAACTTCAGCAACAGCTGCAAACTTTCTGGGCAAATCAGTATCAAGAAATCGACAAGGTGACAGATTTCAAGAACCATAGCCTTCCCCTAGCAAGGATCAAGAAGATTATGAAGGCCGATGAGGATGTGAGAATGATATCAGCTGAGGCACCTGTGATATTTGCCAGGGCATGTGAAATGTTCATATTGGAATTGACATTGCGGTCGTGGAATCACACGGAAGAGAATAAGCGGAGGACACTCCAGAAGAATGACATTGCAGCTGCAATCACAAGGACAGATATCTTTGATTTCTTGGTAGACATTGTGCCCAGAGAGGATCTGAAAGATGAAGTCCTTGCATCGATTCCAAGGGGTACAGTGTCTGTTGGCGGGCCTGCTGATGCACTTCCATACTGCTATATGCCGCCTCAGCACGCACCTCAGGTGGGGGATCCCGGGATGATTATGGGTAAGCCTATGATGGATCCGTCTCTGTATGCTCAACAGTCTCACCCCAGCCAATGTGGCAGCAGGCACCGGACCAGCAGCAGTCACCATCAGATCATTAGCGGGCGCAACATCGAAGCGGAAGAATAGTAAGTTCCCTTGTTTTGTTCTCCAGGCTTGTGACTGAAAGCTGAGAAAAAGCAAAGTGGGGAAGTTTGATGTGTTCAAACTTTGGGAGTCTCTGTAATTATAATGCAATTTCTTACCTTTTATGCTTAACATCTGGTACTGTCTCGTATACTCTTGGCTGTAAAACATTGTCGTTGACGATGATGAAGGTTGCGAACTGATTTTTGTCTACTCTTTTATAGCAAAAGAAGAATTATTATGACTTGGCTTATATGCCGTTTTCGACGATTTAGCTAGTATTTGGTGATGATCATCGTGCCTTTCATGTGATGTGATAAGATCTGTAGGGTGCAATGGAACTTTTGATGTCATCTGTTGACTGTTTTTTTGCATAAATTTGTATTCCCTTTTGCGAAAATCTGTTTCAATTGATTCATTTGCAGCTCACATAAAGATAGCCCTCATGGTTTTAATCACAGAAAAGGAGAAAAACTTAGCTATACCGGTTTCATACCCCCTCCTTCCCGTGCGGAGAGAGAGAGAGAGAGAGAGAGAGAGAGAGAGAGAGAGAGAGAGAGAGAGAGAGAGAGAGAAAGAGAGGGGGTATTAATCTCAACCATCCAGTTGGCATCTCGACTTTCTCGATTAAACTGGTCAAACTACTTTACTTGCTGCACAACTTTAGACAATGATCTTATGTATGAATACAGGGGGCTGGCGGAAAAGATAATAAAGAAAAATGCACAGAAAAGGGAAGGAGTGCTCAAAGGGATCCTAACATGGTCAAGAATCATGTCGAATTAGGGTTTTGTTGTGTATACCATGCTTGGAGGGAGATCTTAGATTATTTTTCGTGGGACCCACCACCACTTGTAAACGAAGATCGAAGACAAGATGAATTGAAATATTAATTAAAGTTGAAATAAATAATGGTTTAATTGAAAGAGGCCGATGAATTTTCATTTGAAATTTTACCCTTAATTCTGCATGATTCCTATTTCCTAACAAAATCAAAACGGTGGAGAATAAACAGAGAGGATTGAGAGCGACGCTTTCCATGACGAATTTGTCAAATACGAAAAGGAAGCCATGGTGATCAGAGAAATGATGAAGGAGGACATTGTAAGAACTCAAGATTTAAAAATAATGAAGAAGGATTTTGAGCTAAAAAAGAAGGATTGAGTGTGGTGTATGATTGGGGATGGATGTAGGGTTTATATGGACAAAAAAAAAGAAAGGATAAGGTTCTGGACAATGACACGTGGCATTACGTAATTAGTTGAAAATCTAATCGAAATCTTGGCTAAATTATTGTAAATAGATAGTGACACGTGGTGCGTCGGGATTGGTTGAAAATCTTATCGGAAATCTATCCACAAAATAGTACGTTCGGATAATAACACGTGGCGTGACAACATTGGTTGAAAATTTGATCAAAATCTTGGCTAAATTATTGTAAACAGATAGTGACATGTGGCGCGTCGGTATTGGTTGAAAGTCTTATCGGAAATCTATCTACAAAATAGTACGTTCGGATAATAACACGTGGCATGACAACATTGGTTGAAAATCTGATCGAAATCTTGGCTAAATTATTGTAAACAGATAGTGACACATGACGCGTCGGGATTGGTTGAAAATCTTATTAGACATCTATCCACAAAATAGTACTTTTGGATAATGACACGTGACGTGACAAGATTGGTTAAAATCCTATCCGAAATTAAAACTAATTTTATTTATTTAAAATTTAATAATATTTTAAAAGGGCTGGATGCCAGCGCATTTTGTAGAGGTGGAGACCGTTTGTGCTAGAGCATTTTTAATGGGTAGAGATGCATTTGGTCAATTACTGTTCATTATGTCTAGCACTGTTAACTAAGTGGATTAAATGAGCTAGATGCCAGCGTATTTTTTTTTAGAGGTGGAGTTGCTCTAGGAACTTAAGTAAAACTGATGACAGATAAGTTGGTTCACCGGAACCACCGTGCAATCAGTAGGTTTAGGGTAGAATATTGTGAAGCCAGATGGGAAAGGAACCCATCGATCCTCCCAAATATTAATATCCCCTCACCAGTTTGTACAAGTAACCTTGCTTCGCCTGCTATATTGGTTGTGATCGCGGGTTCCATCTTCCTCGTCATTGTATCATTGTTGCTTGTTCCATTGATCATCCCGATTTCTTCCAAGCTTTGCGTTACAAGAGTCGTTTATTTTGCTGTTTTCCCCAAAAAGTTTGTATAGGATAACAATAATCACTTAAACATTTTTAATAGCTTGAAAGAATGATATAGGAAAAAACTAACCTCATCAAAATCAACAAAAATATATGAAAACTCCGCCATGAATTGCACCTGCCAAGTGGAAATCCATCCGACTGCATATAAACACAGTTCTTAAGAGCTTCAAGAAGTCTAATTATAAAACTACCATGACTGAGAGGCACTGCAAACTTGATGCTCAAGCTTTGATGATCTTCACCACTTTGACGTGCAAGATTACGTACTTTGTGAACCAGTCTCAGTCAATTCAGTGATTGCATCAATGAATAAAACAAGAGGTAAATCAAATGTATTAGTTTTGTGTAGAAAACTGAATAATTTTCATACCATACCCTTTCCATCCCCTCCTATTTATGTGATCACGGTTAAGTTACGTCAACATTTTATATTGAATTTTTTATAGAAATAATAAGACAAAAAGCAATGAGAATATAAAATGTTGACGTGGCTTAACCGTGACCGCATAAATAGAAATGGATGATAAGGGTATGGGATGGGGGAGTACAGACAATCCAGGTCCAATATCAACCATTATAAATACAAGGGAGTCTTAACGAAACACTCTTAGTACTGTTCACTTTTAACGTTAAAGACATTTTTATTCTAAAAAGTCACTCTTGATACTATTCACTTACAACATATTTTTGTTATTTTAGTTAAAACTCAAAGGTTTCAAAACATTTTCATTAATTTTCCTTAAATACAATGACTAGATACAAAATGTAGAATTTATCCTCACTGTTCACAAATCCACTTTGACAGCCAAATTCCATGTCTCACACTTAGATGGTGTGGCATTCATGATGTAACCTCATGCATAATTCTAGAGCATGACATTCTAGCTATAGCTTAAACCGAAGATCTTCTACAACACTCTAAACTGCATCCCCTGAATCATGTGTCATGTTTGAAGAAACAGGGATCACAAGTGCAGACCACAATGCCTTTGCCTGTGATTACAAAAACTAAGATTCTGCAGGAGTGACCAGTTGGAATTTTGGAGAGAAGGATGATTAAGATGGGTAATGCTGCTGCCACAGAATTCTTAGTTCAATGGCAGAATCACTCCAAAGAGGATTTTTGTAGATAACTAGAAAGTTTAGCCTGCGTGATTGTCGCAGCATTAAAAACTGTAAGAAAGGCACGAGCATAGATGATATCAAGGCAACCCATCACTACGTTCCACAAACAGTTATTTTGAGCACCCCATATTAGGGGTGGGTACGGGCCGGGCCACCCCAAATTTGGAGGAATCGGACTAGGCTCATTTTATAATGCAATGGGGCGGACCGGGTATAAGAATTTTAAATTTGGAACTAGACCTGAAACGGGCCGGTTCGGGATGCGTCCACAGGTCCATCTACAGTTTTTTTTTAAATTTTTTTTTTTATGTTTTTGTGTTTTTGTGTTAGAACATGCGAAATTTTCAGTTTTCTAGGCTTTGGGTTGATTACCACCACCAAATCAGGTCAATCAAGGAAAGCATTTTTGGAAATTTACTAATTATTATGAACAATATTGTAATGAAATCAAAGAAACAACACCCCACAACCAATTTAAAGAAAGAATCTAAACAAAATGGGCAGCTCATTCAAATGAAAAGGATTGAGAGGAAATCATAGAACATGAAAGTATTTTAAACAAAAATTGGGAAACTGATTGAAACAATTTATTAAAAAGCACAACAATTTCATACTGACCCTTAGTACTATGATCTAGTAGTATTCCTCTCCACTCGTAAGTGAGAGGTCTTAGATCGATTCTCGTTAAAGGCGAATTTGAACCATATTATTGCTAACTTATTGTAACACTTAGTTCAATCCTTCACACTCTAGAGAATATCGTTTATTAAAACAAATAGTTAAAATGTCCAAACTCAATCAAAACACTTGGAAATATTTATGGTTTTAACATGCTTGTAATAAAAAAAATTCAATTTAATTGTGTTTAAATGATATTTTATCATGATTTAAAAATAACTTTTAATTTAATTTAATTTTACTTTTTTACGGTGCACCTCTTTGCACCCGATTACCCTAAGCCTGTATAAAGCACCTCATTTATTGTTAGTCCGAATAGCACCTCACTCAGTCAAGCGCAGGAAACGGCACAGACCCCAAGACACTCCCAGCTGCGACGCCGTTAGCAACTCTCCGACCGCTCTCCGATGGCTTCCCCGCCGCCGTCTTGGTATATACACACACATCTGCTTTCACTTATACATACATAAAGTCGATATATTTATATACCTGTAGGTTATATGAATTTTACAGATATAAAGTCGAATTTTTACACAGCAATATTCATTTGATTTATACATTTTTTGGGTCTCAGATCGGCAATTGCATGTATATATGTGTGTGTGTGTGTGTGTATTGGTATCCTCTATAGAAATGCCTGTCATATATTTCCATGTTCAAGTTATGGCTATGAATTTCTTGTAATTTTTGTATAAAAAGCTTGTGTACACGAAAACGATAACGGTCTGGGTTTTTTGAATTGCTCCTGCTTCTGTATGTGTATGAGTGTGAATTTTATAGAACAGGAATAAGAAAAGATAAATACTTGTTTGATTATAAGAGATTTGGCGATTTTGTGGATTAAATTGATGATGAGGAGAAAATAGTGGGTTGGCGGGTAGATTTCTGAAACTGTTTCTTTGATAATTATGTATGTTAGGGTAGAACAGCATGTCTGGAGGAATGCTAGGGGTCGTCGCAGTTCAAATTTGATTTTAATGGAACATCGTGTTTCAGGAACTGAAAATGAAATTTACGAGATATTGGTTTTAGGTCATGGTTGTCGGTTAGGGGAACGTGTTTTTTTGTTGGGTTTGTAAAAACGTCCAATATGTCATGCAATACGAAGTGGCACCCCATATGAAACATGCATTACCTGTGCGATTTCAAAATCTTGCCATTTTCGGAGAGAAGAAACCATTTTGCCCAAATAAGGTCACAGAAGTTTGATTAGTTCTTTATTGTTTTTCGAAGTGATTATTGTATAATGAGTAGAACTAATCTGGAAACGAAAATTTCTAATAGATTTGTGTGGTTTAGGAAATTACGGGAATCAAACAAATATATTAGCCTATTTATTATCATTTTCTTTCGTTCACTCTCCTGTGGAACCCTATGATATTTGGCCATTTTCAGTTAGTATGTCGAGTGAATCATAAAAGGGATAACAAATTATAACAAGAATTTTTAGAAAATAAAGAATGTAACAGACCACTGAAAGACAAAACTAAACTTAGGAATGGCATCTGTGTGTGCTTCTATAAGCAATGGTGGTACATGATGTATATGTATACACGCAGATACATATCTCAGGTTCTGGATTGTAATGGTAATTTGTTCCATTATGCGTCTTACTTCCTAAAGTATGGTTTGAACTTGTAAAAGGATTTAACTTGGGTGAATTGTGTTTCCTTGCTTATAAAATGACTAGGGACAGAACATTTATATAGTACAACAGATGCATGCATCTATGCTAGAATTTCTACAAATGGGAAATTAATAATTACAGTAAATATTTTTCATTCATAGGACTTGGCTGAATCAGTTGTGCAATCCATGACCCTTGGCTATGTTCAAGCCAAGTTTATTGTCTTTGACCCTTGCTATCTTTAACAGAACTTTAGTGTAAACGAATGCTGATTTTCTTATACATATATTATATCTAAGTGTGTTAAATGCTTTATTTTTTACTAAAGTAGGAATAGTCCAAGAAAATTGCGTTGTCTTTCGGTTTGAGTCAGGGCCATTCCCAGTAAGCCGGGCAAACCCCCCCCAAAACAAACGAACCACCAAAAAAAAGTCTGATACTTTAATAGGGCCCAAAATTAGGTCCAAGTTACATATATACTTTGAAAGGATGTTTATTAAATGTATGACTAAAAGATCCGGCCTGTTCCTCATGTGCCCTTGTGAAAATCTAATTGCCTAAATTTCTTCTTCCGCATCTTCTGGTTTGCTCTGGTTCGCCCTTCTTTTTGCCAAAATGCCTTTTAGGTTGGTTCTTTCTTCGATTTACAATTGATCTTCCCTGTTCTTATCGTGCTTTGATTTCTGCCCATTTGACTGAGGTTTTCTCTTCTGTTTGTTTTTTAGTTGATTTTTATTGATGATAGATTCTATGTCTCATTCTGCTGATCTTATGTTAGTTAATTCTTTCAAGAGAATTGGGTATATACAAATAGTCTATTGTTTGTTCTTTCTGTTTTTCTTTTTTGGAAGATGGCTACTGTAAATGCCGCCTCTGGAACATGGGTAATGAATGTTGGGGAGGGGGGGGGGGTTTGTCAGGGATTTTAGGGTATTTCATGTTTATGGTGTTGCTGTGTTTTGAAGTGTGTAGCTTCCAATATCCCCATTTTTTTTTTGGCATAAAGAAAAATCATAATCTGGCCAAGTTATGCGTTTTTTTTTTTATAATTTTAAATCTGAATGCTTGCAACTAAACAATATTAGTCGCACCTTATTACTTGGTGATAAAAAATTTGGATATTTTTTTTGTGCCATTGCAATATGATGACCGCATTTCATTCTTTGCCTCAGGACCCTCCACCCTGGTTCGAGTGCTTGTTTTGTGATTACACCTGATAATATATAATAGTTAAATATAAAACTTACTTTTTGAAAGCTGCAATTAGAAAATAATCATCACATTCCATTGGAGAGTGAGTAGAGATATATTTATTTCTGTTGTATATGTCTGTATGTGACTACTATCTATTATTTTATCATGGAAGTGCTTATGCAAGTTGAAATTCCCCCTCCCTCTTTCAAATGCAACATCTTCTGGTAGACTTTATTGCACCCTATTTGCTTGCTGCAATAAACTGAGAGGTTTTCTTGTAGGTTCGCGGGAACAAGTAAGATTAATGAAGCAGATCAATCAGATCCTCAACAACCAATTCATTTTGATCCTACACAACCCATATTATTAGAACCAACACCTCTGAGAAGTGAGCCTTATATTCCGCCTACAATGGATTTATCAGAAAATATAGATTTTGAAGAACAAATGGAGCAAGTTATGATAGTTCTTCCAACTCACTCAACAATAGAAGAGAAGAATAAGATTTTGGAAACCAACGAGTCAGCGATTATTTTGACTGGAGCGGCTGCTGCATTGGCACAAGGGGGACCTACAGTAGGATCAGTTGATATTGGCGAGAATGAAGACTCATACTTATTCCGTGTCTCTATACCAGGGGCTTTGAAGGAAGACAGTGAGTATGATCACCTTGTGTCATTTTGTTAAATACTTGATTGTTGTTCTACTTTCTTATAGCTTATTATTTTTGTTAATTGGATGAGCTATGAAGGGAGTCTCTTGTTCGTTGTCTTAGCATTCTTTATCTTATATAATAATGGTTGATTGGCAGTTGTGTTCTAATGCTTGTAGCATACCTCTTTGACAAAGGCGTGGTTATCATTAAAAAATTAATTTGTTCATCATTAGTAATGCATGTGTAACGAAGCAGCATTGAAGTGATTGATTGGTGATGGAATCGAGGTCTAGTGAGGCATGGTGTTTGAAATCTGTTCACCACCATATGGTGTTGTGAGCTCACCTTAAGCACGCCCTAAGCTACACGGGTTAGTAGGGCACACCAAACAAACACACTAAAAACATTAGTCATGCATGTTGACTTTTCTGTATTTTTTAATAAAGTGTTCCTTTTAGACTTTGAATAACTAGGTTATCCGTTTATCATGAAAGATTGGTTATCTATTTGTCTCAACATGTCTTGGTATTCTTTATCATTCTTTAATGGACCACATCTTTTGTCTTTGCGAATGCAGAATTTAGATGTGATGTTGATCCCGATGGGAAAGTATTCGTACAAGGAGTAACTACGACAGGAGGGAAAATAGTATGCAGGGATTTCCATGTCTTTAAGATGAAGACGCAAAATCTGTGCCCACCAGGTCACTTCTCTGTCTCGATCCAGCTTCCTGGTCCAGTTGAAAGCGAGCAAAAAATTGTGTCTCTAGATAATGATGGGATTTTGGAGGGCATTGTGAAGAAAAAATTACCTTAAAATATTTGCTTCGAGGAGCTTGTATGTTTTCGATTGATGAAGAGGTCTGAGTTGAATGGAGAAGACTCCATATTTTAGGACTTAAGATGTCGACAATAAATAATTGCCTCTGTTTTGCGGAGGATGAAGCCTGGCATACAAGCTAGAGGTGATATACAGTACGCTTGCTCGAGCCCAAGTAATAGTGAACTGGGGCTTTGCTAAGCTGTTTGTATGCACTCATTGTAAGACTGGAAGCTGTGTTCATGGGTGGACTATGTTTTATTTCCGTTGAAAGTTCTCTCTACCAAGGCCAGTTCATGGTGAAACAGCTGGTAGTTATCTTGAAACTTACAAGATACTTAGCTCTGTTATTTTGTGGAAATGGTCTTTTATGGATTTATCTTTTTATAAAAAGTATTTTTGCAAAAAATTATATTTCGTTTGAGTTTACTGAAAGTGCTTTTTGATGAAATTGCTTTTGGAACCAATTCGTAGTAAAATGCAAGTGAATCTTGGAAAAGAACTTGAAGTTCTTCCTGCAAGAAGCACATAACTGGTACTTCTTCCAAAATGCATTTTAAGTGCTTGGAACTCAAAAACACTTTCTACAAAAACACTTTTAGTCATTTTAAAGTACTTCAAATTGAGTGTGTATGTTTTGGGTGGGTGGGTGTGGTTGACCGTAAGGGGCTGACATTGGTAGTGGTGTTTAGGTTGTGATTGACAGCTTGCTGATCAAAGCACCAAATTGCAGGTTTGAACTTTGAAACCCAAATTCAGAACGTTCATAAGTTTGTTTTCTTTTCTTTACCATTCTCTTGGATATCTAAATGAGTGGGCAAGTGTTTCGGTTGTATTGACCCAAAGCTTTTTTAAAACTTTCCTCATGCATTTATGTTCTGTTATCCAACCTTAGCGTCTTCTCTAATTTGGGGGTTCATTACGAATTCAAATTTTTTAGATTCTCTAATGAGAATTTGTGGCATCTCGTACTGAGAATCTTTCTTTCACGACTGTACTTCCCCTGAACTGCTACTGATTTTTATTTCGGTATCCCTTATTCATGTTTATTATGTTGCGGACTATAGAGATGTCCACAGCTGTTATGGGGGAATGTAGGCTTTATGGCCAGTTAGGGAATCAAGGTTGCTTTAGTTTAGTTGGTGTATATTCAGGTCCTCAGCTTTTTGAATTGTTAGCAAAAAGCCGGGATGAAACTATTCAAAGACATTAGTGAGTGCTAGCTAGGACCAACATTTGCATCTTTTACTGTTCCCTCCGTTCATTTATACATATGCTTCTGCATATACAGTAGACTGAAGTGTCTTACTCCCTGATATTAACTCTTCATGTTGTCTTGAATTACTTATGTGAACTTTAATGAATGCCTGTATTTGAATTGCTAATAGTTTCTTTTTGGGAGCAGGTGTTTTCATTTACTTGTATAGCTTTGTAGTTTTGTGTGACATGAATTCTATTACACATGTTTGGTATTTGACTCTACAAGTTCATGCATAATTTTTCATTTTTGGAGGTTACTGTGCTAAATTTCTGCCAGCATGTTATTGGTTTGCCTTACGCAATATAAACTGACGCATAAACTTTTCGATATTCACAGTTAATGGCTGAAGCAATTTTGGCATCATAAAGTTTTCTTACCATCTGGAACCGCATTATCTGTAGAGGTATTACTATCCTTACTCTTGTCTTTTAATGCACGCAGTTATTTTCTTCACAAGTTAGTAGATTGTGAATTGTATAGATATAGTAAGCCAGTTTCTTTCTTTGTTAAGGTTTTAATTATTGCTTAGTACTGGGAGAATCATCTAATGGTTGTCTTACTATTTCATCCTTTACCATACCATACAAAATACAATAATGCTACTCATAGTGCATTCAATGACTCCGTTACTGACCACCTGTCTACTAAGGGTGGGCCCAAAAACGTGTTTGGCACCCTCTGTTGGAAGGTTGGTCAGCAACGGGGTCAATGAATGTGGTCTAAATAGCAGCACTCTATGAAATATTCAATAGATGTCTAAATTTATCCGTCGCTGTTATGGTATAGACTGAAAAGTTAAAAGATAACTGGTGAAATATGGGCTTAGTGCAACTGGAAAACGTCTTCTTAATTTATAATTATTATACAGGTATAAATGTATATAGATGTTTATCTCTACGAGTAAAAGATTTTTTTGTATTTTGGGTTAGTGTGGTGTTGGATTTGGTCACTCCATCTTGCGATGGGGAATATAGTGAAGCCAAACCTATATATTATAAAAAGGGTAGTGTAATTTACACACCCTTTTTTACCTCCCACACACCCTTGTTATTTTTTGTCCATTGATCTTCTTTGATTCATTCAAACGGCCGAAAATTCAGAGAGGTGTGTGAGAAATAAAAATAGGTGTGTGGATACTGGATAGCACCACCTTATGAAAATATGACATAGTATAAATTATGTGAAGCACATAAGATCTGGATAATGTGATTCATTTTTATGTTAAGTGTAGCATGGATGGGATATGAATCTCGGATTCATATCCAAAATAAGAGTGATTTTGAAACCCAAACTTAGAATGGGTTTCCACGCCAGTGCCCAAACCCCAATCCAAGCCAGCCCACCGAACATGCCGCTAAATGGTTAGGTGGGGGTAGGTTTTTCCGTATTATCTGAATGGCTTCCGGGTGTTTTCGCTCTTTCCATGTGTGCACTGCATGTCTCCGCGTATGCTCTGTTGCGTGGTCTGAATAAATCTATAAAATACCGCCAGTAATTTCCCCAGAACATATCTGTTAGTCAGATCTGTTTTTGTGTTTTTGCAGTCATGATCTCCATAGAAGGTGCAGCCCCAGGCGGCGAAGATGATGAGGATGAAGGACATCTGAAAGCATGATGGATTACAACAAAAATTTTGGACATCTCAATACGCAGATGTTTGAAAGTCGAATCGTTGATAGATTACCAGAATATTTCTGAACCTCTCAAAATGCAGCCGTTCAAGAGATCTCCCCATATATCAACATTGGGTTGGATCGGCATCTCTTCCAGCAGTCTCATCGCCTCATCAAAGCAGCCTGCTCGACTTAGAAGATCTGTCTCTTACCCTCCTCCACAAGACCGATACTACATGCCGATAAAACCACAATGTAAGTTATCTGGTCTGGATAACACCCAGCCCATATATTTGTTTCAGTTCACCTACGGTTCTGCATTTTTCCACGAGTGAGAATCGTTTTCTGGTGTTGCTTCATGAATCATGAGCATTTTGATTCAAATGGAAGAACTTGATGGGCAAATCAAAAGATTATCTTTAAACTCCGAATTTCGAGACTAACCGATTATGAATTTTTAACACTACGCGATTGTGTGACGGTTACACTACTTACTTGATCATTCTATGGAAGCAAAAGGCAACATCAAAATAGTAATATTTATCACTTCACTGTAAAATCAAAGAATCAAATTTCATTGCAAAGTCACTAACATCTCATACTCTCTCTCTCTCTCTCAGAATGCTCTTCTTCCACCTCTTCTTCTTCCTCTTGTTCTCCAAGTAACAGCCTCCATTCCCGGACAAAAAGCCCTAATCTTCAAACCCAATTTGTGCAATTCCTCTCTCTGAAACCCTAGACCCACCAAAACAACCCCAAAAAAGATGGCAAAAATACCAATCTTGTCCCACCACTGAGCCATAGCAACCCTAGAGAGCCCAATTCCCAATCCGCAGAAAAGCACATTGCTTCCCACATCTCCACAGAACAACAATCCCAACCCACAAATCACCAGAACCCCATATAATACAAACAACAGAGACTTCCTCTTTCGTTTTCTTCCGAACCCATCGCCGCCGCCTCCGAACCCCTTCCAGATCCCCAGACCCCCTCCGGTGCCGTCTCCGCCACATAATTCTTCAACAACCAGATCCAACGGCCGAGGCACTATCTTGAAGTTCGATAGGATGGCCGGCATCAATTGGAGCAGCAATCTTGTTAATCTGTGAGACCCATTGCGCCGTTTGTTCTTCCCCGCACGTAGAATTGGATTTTGGGTCTGGGTTTGACGACAGAGGGAGAGTGGAATGGTAAAAATTGGAGATTTTGGAACAAAGATATTGCTTGGAAGCGAAGTTATGGTTTTAACAATTGGGTAGGAGACGCGAAGGGATTGCTTGGAGAGGACCGCTCGAGATTGGAAGTGGAGGATCAACTGCATTTCTACTCCCGCTCTCTGATCTCATGGACGGCGAAGAAGAAGTAAAAAAAGATGACCGTTTGAACTGAAGAACATTCTTATGCGGGAATTTTTCACCAAAAAATAAAAAATAAAAGTACTTTAATTTTTTTGATTTCTTTTCCTTGTGTCCAGAGCAGCCAGACCTGACAATTCGACCGTTCAATTTAAATCATACGGTTCTTATAAACTCGTATCACTAGCCCACCTTATAGAAAACGAAGTCTTTGAATAGCTCGTATCTCTCTCTTGAACGACTTGAATTTTTTGATCAAGCTGCTCGAACACATAGATCCAGAAAGGATCTCAACTCAAAAGTTTTTGTAGGTTACATGACTAGGACAGTTCTCACACTAAACGAGACTAACATGAGATCAAGTGAGACTAAAATACATCAAAATCTTGAGTATAAGGTCCGCAAGGTTACACGAAAAAAATCTCTCCTAAAGTACAAGAAATCTAATGCATTTGTGAAATATGTCCGGCTAATGATTGGTACCTCCCTACCCAAGCTTTTCTCCCTCCAATCCAAGGTTCAAATTCTTTAGACTTTGTCTTCCCAAGTTAGATGTATTTACAAACAACAAAAGGGTAAATAATTTAATTTATGAAATTGATTGAACGCACCAAAAAATCAGTCTATGTGGGACACATATTATCACGGCAGTGGCTTCAGTTCATCCACGATATACAACGACCTATACATGCTTAAATTGACAGCAGATAGCAAAAGCCAACTAACCCTCTTAATTTCCCAACTACAACTTCAACTTTTTGTGTTCTATATAAAAAGCCAGAGCTCAAAAGTGCTTACGAACAACAATTCCTTTTTCTATCTGTTCATACTTTGAAGCACAAAATGTATTCTTTTGTCTTGCCTGGACATGACAAGGCTACTGCAGGTACGAAAAATGCCGATAGAGAAAATCTTGGTCAGTTTTCAGTATCCGGTGGGAGGCGCAACAAGTGTGTCATTACTCCGGCTAATGTCGGTATGGTTGCTGAAACTATAGAGAGAAGAAATCAGAACTGGTATACCTCTTCCTCTCCTCTTGTTGTCTCTACTTATATTCATCCATGTATACCGTCACTGTAACATCCATGGACGGAGGGAGTAAGGCCCAGTGGGGGCACATGCCCCCTCTCATCCCTTTTTTTTCATTACAAATTATTCGATTAATCATTCCCATTTTTTTTGCTTTGCAGATTATTCAATTAATCATATTAAATAGTGAAAATTCTCTTTTAGTTTTTAAATGCCCCTCCGTCTTGGATATTTTTCTCACGCACTAATGTCTAAACCTTGTTGAGTTGCATGTATTTGGTTAATTAGTACAAATGAGCATTAGATTGTCAACAATTAAAGATAAAATTAGACAATAGAGTAATAAAATTAGGCATTTTGTAATTAATTTTTTCAGCATTTGTAAAAGAACTAGCTTTATTTGTCCAAAAAAGGAGCTCAAATTTTTTAAGGTGCCCCTCTTAGTTAAATTTCTGGCTTCGTCCCTGATCCCCGTCTCTCCTTTTTTTTGGTTTTGATTGTGGCTAGTCGCAACCATCCTTTTTTTTTTTTCTTTTTTTTCTTGCAGGTTTGTTAGGACAAAAGTGGTAAATGATTTGATCATACAAGTTGGAGACTCCAACTTTTACTTGCACAAGGTATGCTACTATGCCCGAAAGACGATACTTCTTAGTTCTTACTGAAGGTCTTTCGGGGTAATTTCTTGAGTTGCAAGAAACTAGTTTGCCAAGATTTGTCACCGGTCACAATTTTTATCAAAGAATTGTGTTGTTGAAATGTTGATATACATATGAAATTTCTCTGAAAAAATGCCTAAAACTCGCATGTCGTATCGAAAATATTTAGACTAGAAACTAGATAGAACTTTTGAATTAAGAAACTGAGATGTTAGGTTCTGATTCTTTGAAGTTTAATTTCATGGTTTTTCGATCCTCAGATTCCGATGGTGATGAGAAGTGGATACTTGAATCGACTAGTATTCCAGAGAATTAGTGTAGGGGGAGATGCCAGCGCCAAAATCCAGCTCGACAATCTTCCAGGCGGAGCAAAAGTTTTCGAATCTGTAGTCAAGTTCTGTTATGGTTGGAAGGTTGATCTAACCGCTGCCAACATAGCTCCGCTATATTGTGCTGCGCATTTCTTGGAAATGAGTGATGATTTCGAACAAGGAAATCTGATTTCCAAAACCGAGACCTTTTTGAGCTTCTTGATGTTTTCGTCATGGAAAGACACCTTCCGGATTTTGAGAAGCTGTGAATCGATCTCTTCGTGCGCTAAGGAGTTGAAAATCTCCAAACGAAGTGCGGAAGCCATTGCTTGGAAGGCCTGTACGAACCTTAAAGCATTTAGTTCTGAAACTGATGAAATAGAGTGCTTCAATGTTCTGCCAAACAATGCAGAGAACCCGAGGTTTCAAGATGCAGCTGACACTTGGTGGTTTGAAGATGTCTCGTTCCTTCGAATAGATCATTTCATCGAAGTGGTCCAAGCCTTAAAACTTAAAGGGATGAGAGCAGACCTGATAGGATCATGTATAGCGCATTGGACTGCAAAATGGCTCTCGCGAGTCACCTCTGGACTCGAAAGAATGACCCCGAAGCATATGACACATCGGTTCCTAAGAGTTACAACCGAGTGCTTGGTTAAGGTACTTCCTACGGAGGAGAATTCAATTACTTGCAACTTTATACTTCATCTTCTTAAGCTAGGGTTTATGACAAAAATAAACTCGGAATTGTTGAACATGCTCGAAAGAAGAATAGCTTTCATGCTGGATCAATGTCGCACTGCGGATCTCTTGGTTAGGAACTATGGAGAGAAAGAGAGTGTCTATGATGTCGGTCTTGTTATAAGGGTGGTGGTGTCATATGTTTCCATAGTTTTGAGTAGTCCAACACCAAAAAGGTTTGCGGTTGGAAGGCTGATAGACGGATATCTTACCCTAGTTGCAAAGGATGAGAACCTTAAGGTGAAGAATTTCCAATCACTTGCAGAAGCATTGCCAAAAGACGCTCGGTTTTGCGATGACAATCTTTATAGAGCCATTGACATGTACCTCAAGGTATCGATGTTTCTTCCATTTTCCGACAACATGCAGCAGTTAAATGCAATTACTTAAACAGGAGGAGCTTATATATAATTGTTTTCTTACTGCAGGTACACCCTAACTTAACAAAAGAAGAAAGAATGAGTCTCTGCAGAAACCTGGAATATCATCGGTTGTCACAAGAAGCGCGCAAGCACGTAATGAAGAATGATCGGTTACCCTTGAAGATTAATACCCGATTTATCCTTCTTGAGCAAGTAAACATGTCAAGGTCCATGACAGCTATTGGATCAAATTACCGAAGAACGCAGACTCAGGCAATTGTCAGAGTAAATAAAGGTTTAGGAAAGGGAATGGCGAATTCGCAGAAGGAAATAAATTCAATGGCAGAAGAGGTTGAGACAATGAGATTGCAGCTCAATGATTTGAAAATTTGCAAAATAAAGCTTCAAAACCAAGTGAAGAGATGTATCGTGTAGAAGAGAACTGTGAGTTTCATTCGGAAAATGTACTTTCTTTTCGTTACATAATATGAACAGCCTACCCGAGCTGGACATTGTTATTCCATATTATGATTTCACAGAATTTCAGACACGCTAGACGAAGAGCTCACGCGGACAATAATTCGATATTGAATTTGAACACTAATCACAGAGGCAGGCTGATTTAAACACACTAGATGAAGAGTTCACGCGGACAATAATTCGCTACTAAATTTGAAGACAAACCTCAAAAGCAGGCTCGTTTAAACAGAAGTTATCGCTCGATAGCATGCGATGAAAATGCAATTAAGCAATGGCATGCCTTACAAGATTATAAATAGTGAGAGGGCAACACATGTTTGATCACCCCAAGACAACTGACTTGCGACACAAGATACCAAACCTCAAAACTGATAAAATTGTTCGAAGGTTCGAATCATATCATGGCATCTAGCAGTAGTAGCAGGAGCAGTAAAGGCAAAGCCGTTGCTGCAGAAACTAGTACTCCTTCGCCATTCAAGATCAAACTCGACGTAGATCACTTGCACACCGGCGTCCTCAAGATTGATCCTTCTAAGGAATTCGAAGAGCACATTGTAGGGAACATGACCGCGGCTAACCAAAAGTTACTACACGAGTGGAAACCGGTTGAGTTTACATTCAAAGATGTCGATACAGATCAAACCTACCCGATAACTTTGCAGAAGACGGCGTCCTATAAATTTCTTAGTGATCAATCAAAGGAACAAGAAGCTATTGATATGAGAAAGGCAAAGGATGACTTTTTCTACACCATTAGGCCTCCTAGTCGTGCGATGGACAAAAGGCAGCTCATGACTTTTGGAGATCAAGGGATTGGAATGCCATGGACAGCGCCGTCAGTTGACAGCAACAAGCCCGCACTTGAAGTTTCGGTTTTGTATGTTCCGAGGCTCGACCTTCCAAACCATCAGGAGACGAAATGGTTGATATTTCAGGGACGTAGAGTATAGTAATAGCAAATAGTTAGACATATGTTATATCATAAGTGGATTGCTAATTTCTCGTGCGGTGCGACAATCATATTGAATAATTATTTAAAAGAAAGATGATCCGAAATTTGATGTAGTTAAGTTCATAGGGAGAATAGCCAATTTAATCCAAATGATATACGAAGTAACACGAATGACATGTTTAATCGGATAATCAAACAATTCAAAATCTTTACTTCTTCTCATGTGTTAACTAATACATGTAAAATATGAATAAAATGTGAATTCACCTTAAAAATTAAATCAATTACGAAAGATAACCCATTTCTTCTTTTCCTTTTTCAATTCATAACTTCTTAGTTCTCGTATTTCAAGTAAAAAATCACCTTTGTGGCCATTCTTGCATGGCTTCGAGGCTCCCCATCCCCTCCCTCCCCCGAACCCCCAAAACTATCACAAAGCTGTTAATTACTGTTGAATGATTTTTCTTACCGCTTTACCCCCTAACTAGTACGCGGCAGCCAATTATCGCACGCGGTTAGATTTTAGGCAGCCAATTATCGCACGCGGTTAGATTTTATTAAGGTTCTAAAATATGTTAGGCACTAGTCGGACCGCAGGTTGGGGCCTAGTGCCTAAGCGGTTAGGTGGGACCTACGGCGGATTTAAGTAAATCTATTATATTTCGTGTCAATAAGTATCTATTTATAATTAAAATATATATAATTTCATTATAAACTACAAAATATAATGACATATATATTATGAAGTATTAGAACATAATGAAAATATGAGGAACACGCATATAATGTACGTTCATTTAAGTATTCGACAAGTCTCTTACAATTTATTGAAAAAAAAAAATAAAATGCAAAATGAAAGTTATGTATTTTCTGTCTAAATGAGTTGTAACCGAGGCGGATGCCTAGACAGGCCCCTCAGTAGATCTAGACACCATTTCTTAATTTTTAAACATCTAGGCATTAGTCGGGGTATTGGTCAGCCGCCTAGCGCCTATGAGGTGGTTGACAGGGATTTTTTGAACAGTGGATTTTATAGAATTTCATATAAATTTATGTCACATGCCTATCTGATGACATCACTTTACGAAAATTTGAATGAAAATCTCTCGAATTAAATGGTAATAGGATGATTGGCAGCCTAGTAAAATTGGCAAAATAAATAGCTGCCAAGAAATATAGAAAAATGCAACGACATCTTTATTAGCGTCGTTTCTCGCGAAACGGCACCGCCTCAATCTGATTATCTGACGATGAACATCAGAGAAGACAGAGACTCCCTTCTCAGAAGGAATTGGAAGGAGCAAGCAAAAATGGAGAAGCGAGGATTGAATGCCGACAGAATCAAGAGCTCTTCTTCTTGTTCGGAGGAGGACCCAAATCCTTGTCCCATCTGCCTCGGACCCATAATTCAAGATTCTTACCTCGAAAAGTGTCTCCGTACGTTCCGCTCTCTCAGTTTCTCTTTGGCTTCAATTTCCATATTTTCTTGCATTTTCTCAGAAACCAAACAGGGCATCAAATTTAATTTTTCTTTTTTTAACTCGTATTCGGTGCTGGGTTTTGATTGATCATTATTTCAAGTTCCATGAATTGGGTTTCTCCAAGAATTGCGATATTTTTGTGAATTTTTGTGGTTTAGCAATTGATGAAGCTTGAATATCTATATAATTGATTACGTATTAAAGAATAATCATACATTTTTTTCTTGTCAATGGAGGAAAAAAAAGGGTCTTGGTACGATTTGTAGATGTTCAATTTATGTTGGGCAGCTTTCTAACTTTGTATTTGATAGGATTAAGTATTATGTTTTCTATGGTTGATGAGCTAAAATGTTGAAAAAATGGGTCTTTATTAATGTTGTATATGCTGTGAAACAAAATGCATTGTGTGACCAAGGTTCTAAAAGACACTATTCGGGCAGCTGGCAGGCTGGGCCTAGCGCCTGGGCGGCTAGGTGGAGCCTAGGCGGACTAGGCGTATTTACGTAAATCTATTGTATTTCGTGTAAATAAGTATCTGTTTATACTTAAAATATATATAATTTCATCATAAACTAGAAAATAGGATGACGTATATATTATGAAGTATTAGAACATAATGAAAACATGGAGAGCAAACATATAATGTGTGTTTATTTAAGTGTTCAATAAGTCTCTAACAATTTATTGGAAACAATAAAATGCAAAACGAAAGTTATCTATTTTCTATCTAAGTGAGTTGTAACCTAGGCAAGTGTCTAGGCGGGTCTGGGCAGGCGCCTGAGTAGGTCTAGGCGTCCTTTCTTAATTTTCAAACGCCTAGGCGGTGCTAGGCGGGGATTTTTAGAACAATGTGTGTGACTGTGATGTTTAGTCGTCTATTGAGTCTTTGAAATCCCCGAATTCTGTGTTTCAGATAAGTTCTGTTACAAGTGCATTTTGCGTTGGACGGAAGTTGTTGCTCGCAAGCAGTCTTGCCCGCCGGATTATATAAAGTGTCCTCTTTGCAAGGTCAGTTTGTTCATACTGCATTTCTGTTCAATCAAGTTTTGTTTCTTTTTGTTATAGATAGTGCTGAATTTTAGTGGCTTGATGCAGACGGAAAATGTTTGTATAATATATGATTACGATGGATGTTCTTTTCAAAAGCATTGCATTGATCAGGATTCAGGGTATGCGTATTCTTCTGTTTTTATCTCTTTGAGCTCGTGTCGGTGATGTAAATGTGGTTTACTTATGTTTTTTCCGTTAATGGTATCTGCAGCTTTATCTTATCGAAGGATCACAAGTATAGATTGCAATGTTATTACACTGAACCAGGTTTTGTGCTTCTTGTCATTTTATTGGTTGTGTTGCTTCTCATTTTATATCCTGAGAAATGCAGTCACTGTATACACGTCTTCCAGTTGGTTAACTTTGTCTTTTAAAATTAGGTTTCTTAAATGACATATTTGACGTATCACGCTATTGGAAGTCCCGCAAGTATCTCCAGCCAAATCGCTGGTTCCAAAGTTGGTTGAGAAGGGAAATCCAAGCTCTCATGCAGGTCTTGACTTCTTCTGCATAAATTTTCTGTCGTGGTGACACAAGGACATTTCAACATCCTACAGACTTTTTTATTTGTTTTGGCTAGGTGATGAACTGATCACCTGGTCCAATTAGCTAAATCATAAAATTGGGCGTGTGATCTGTCTTTATATATGACGACCACAGCAGAACATATGTTTTTTATAGTTATTTGGGTGACTTTTTATAGCTAACTTGCTTCTTTTGCTGCTTGTAGGAGGAAGATGTTGACATCGTCATGCACCATATACATGGCGTGATTAAGTCATCCCTGACGAGGTAATGTGTATTACTCTCTAGATTTTGAAAATTGAGTTGATCATCCTTGAGAATTAATTGAACAATGTTCCAATAAGTTTAGTTCCCGTCGTTTGAGTTCTTTTGGATGCGACGAAAAAGAATATAAAACAATGAAGTAACTCTGTGTCTGAACTTTTACCTGGACCATGCATTTTTCAGGGATGAGCAGAAAGGTCGAACGACAGCACCTGAAGAAAAACAAAGAGAATTTCAAGAATCAACCTCTGATGCAGCAGGGCCTTTCCTGGTAGCAAAAACCAATCGCTTTGTAAACGAGGTGGAACTATTTCTTGCTTCGGGTTTGAACATTGAAGCATACGATGCTGTGTGCATGCAACGCTTAGGTTGGAGTGCTCCGGGAGTAACTACGGAGCCAGCAGAGGGAGAACTCGCCGAACATAGACCTGTGATTCCTTACTTGAACATATTTTATGACTCCGACTGCAGCGAATGAAAGTTTTCATCTGCATATGTATGGAACTGTCGCTTGAAGTTGAATCTTTGTTTTAAGTGATATAAAGTGCGTACTTGTCTTGGATACATAATTTGGCCGGAATGTCAAATATGAGTTTTGAATCTCCGGTGCATCGGAGGTGGTTTGCCAATATATTTGGACAGAAAGAAGCTCCGTCTCAGGCTCCGGATATACAACTCTGCCGTGCATCGGAGATGCTCTTACAGGTTACATCCACATTTGGAAAATGGAAGAGCCTGAATTCTCTCATATAAATGTTTTTGTTTAATAAAAATTGAAATAAGAAGAAATTGTAGCAATTGTC